GACCAAATTGATTTTCGGAGCACTCCCAGAACACCTTTTTCGACACTTTTTGGAAAAATGTGACCAGAAAAATTGCGTTTTTTTAGCGCGCGGTTCCTTTCATATTATTATATAATGGTGCCGAAGGCGCCTTTGGAAAAACTTCAGGTTTGGTCGGCCGAAAAAGCATTTCATAAAATAATACCGAAGGGGGGTTTCTTTGGTTGATGAGGGGGTCAAATCCCTGAGGGGGAGGGGCCTCCGACTTCCCCCTAAATCCGCCCCTGAAAAGGGGTAATAATTGGGGTCGCGTTCTTTTTTTCATCACTACCACCACTATTCAAAAAAGGAAGATTTTCAAGCTTTTTGATATTATTTCAATGAGACTATTAATAGAATATTGTTGACCTCTTTAATGGGACAAACGCTTCAGGTCAAGTATAACCTCAGAGGAATCGGGATTGTCGGTGAAAAGCAACGAAGAAATACTGGATGACCCCACTTTGAAAGTCCTCACATTATCACTACTACGTAAGAGTCTACAACGAAAAGATACTTCCTACTGGGATACTCTTTACGTTCTGATTACACTATGTAAACTACGAGAAGTCGAGACGAGTATTGATATTATCATCGAAACTGATACGTTCGACCAAATTCGATCCCTAATTGAGAGTTACAATGAAAATTTACCCCTCAAGGCGAAGAACATCGTCACAGATTTAGTCCGAAGCTGCATATCTCTTTTCAATTACATTCTCTATTTGTGTAGAATTTACGGACATTCAGAAATTTATAAAATCGATTCTGTCATCGAAATAGCGGAAGAACTTCTTCACGATCAGATTTACAGAAACATCCAAAAAGTAGTCGAAGATGAAACTGATTTGATGTTCTTGGAGAGTCTACGAGGAACCATGGAAAAAGAAATTTCGAGTCACGCGCCGATATTAAATGCAATCAACGAAGGGACCAAAATTATTAGTAGTTTCTATCATACAGATTTAGATGACTCGAGCAGTTAATTGAAACAAATTTGAACAAATTTATGTTGAAAACTATATATTTTTTGCCTTTGTCATAATTTCACTGACAGAAAGGACATATTGAGTAACTTTTTTTGAGACACAAAAACCATAAAAGCGAAGTTTGTCTAAAAAACACAGAAGCAATGAAGAACTTTGCACCACTTACAATACAGCATAAAAAGAGCAGTGCAAGCTAGCAGACAGAAAAAGAAAGCCACTAAGTACAAAAACAAATAGGAAACAAAAACACTTCAAAAATCACAATTAAAAAAACTTCAATATGTTGCCTGGAATCATGTTTGATTTACGGAAAACACGTCCAGCAAAACAATCGACGGCAATTAATGACAACTCAAAAAAAAAATAACAAGCGAAAGGTGAGCCGACAAACTTAAATGATTTTCCGAAGAACCGAAACGTTATTGTTGTCAAGAAAATATTTGGAACTGTAAATTCTATTCCGAAAACTTTACCAATTTTAGCGACCTAGAATGAAGCATAAAACGTATGCTTCCCCAAATTAAGTCACTCAGCCGATAAAATATAAACCGTAATCTTTAAAGCCGAAAAAAAACTGCAAAATATACGGCAAAAAAGTCAAATCCAGCAAAACTGAAAATTGCAGGAGTACTTCAACACACTAAAAGCGAACAAAAAATCAATTCTACGATGTGGCAACTAAGCCAACAAAACATAAGTAGAGAAATTATAGGCCGACATTTTTTTTAAAGGAATGTTTCCGGTTTGAGAAAAAAAACAGCTCCTAGTCAGATTCAGAGCCATAACTTTTGCCGTCCTAGGCGTATTCTTCACAATCAGGCTAAGTTCCGGAGACGTATAGAAGTTTGAACAATGAACAAAGATACAAGTTATTCTCTTAAAAAGAGTTATTAACCCGAAAAAATTCCACATTCCGTTTTAATAGCGATTGCTAATCGCACATGTAAACAAAAAAATTAAATCAGGAGATAAACTTAGCCAACCGAGACCACAAGATTATGTTCAAAATTCCAAAGTTTGGTGCACTTTTTTACAGTTCCTACTTATAAAGAAATTGACGGAATGTTTGTACTCGGGGTGGTTTTCTCTCCAGACAATTTTCTAATTAGCCATTTTTAAGAAAAAAAGGTTTAAACCATATAAAAATTATTGATTTCTTGCGCTCAAATTATGAAAAATTTCACATTTGGTTATTTCCGTAAAATAATGCGTGTTTAAAAATTGCAAATTTGAGACAATTAGAGCGCGATATGTTTTGTGTTATTTTTGCGTAAGCTACGATCTAATCCGGCTTACAATCTTTCTAAATTAAGTTTTGCATGCTATTATCTTAACTAATACGTTAAAATAGGCTAATTATATCACTTGGTACTTTAGATAGCGTCTGGAGGGTTGATTTCCAAAACAAAGCAAAAGTTTTCCGAAATGTATCTCCCTTTTTTTTTGAAAAAGTCGTCATTTTCGTTTGAATTGAACACTTATCCATAAACAAAAAAAGGCAGCTGGAAGACTAAGGGCATCGCCCTGATTAGACTATTCTTGTTGTTACAATTTCTGAAGAAAGTGAGGAATATATATACCTGGGTGTTTTTTTAAGTTAAAGACAACATCGTATACAAATGTTAACTTTGTATGGGAATTGATTCGGAAATCTTCGGATTGCCGAGCGAGTAGGCTTGACTTAGACTAAAATTCAAATATACTAGCTCCCCAAATAATGATCTGATAGTTTTAATACGCAAATTATGTATGCGTGGCGACTTATGCGCACTCTTACTAAACTTTTACTAATTGATTTTGATATGGGCAGTAACATGATAACTATTCAAGTAACAAGTAACAATAACAAGAAAATTATGATAACTATTCGAGACCAGTCATGGGCAATCTGGTTATTTTTAACTATGTTGCAGTGATTTTGTGGATTAAAATGTATGCTAGCAAAATTTTATGGTTTTCTTTTTTTTGCGACCTGCACAATTCCAAAAGTAGTGCGCAGGAATTTTACATGGCGAACACTTCGTAAGGATCAAGTTCCACGCATCAACTTTGCTTACGAACCATGTGATTGTTTTGAAAACTAGATTGAGATGAATCCTAAAGCGTGCCCAAATAAAAGCAAAACTGTTCGTATCAGAGGGAAACCCTGGTTGTTCAAATTGCCTTCTAAAGGCTATGGAGTATTTTTTGCTAGACAAATTGATAGAATTGTAGAATTGTGAAAAAAAGAAGAAATTTTCAAGAAGTTTTTTTTGAATTTTTTGAAAATTATCCCTTGCACGCTATTTAAAGTACAAATTGATCTGTTTCACAAATAGAAAAGATTTAAATGGACAAAATAGTATGCTTTAATTCAATTTAGAACAACTGTAGGACTGATTAAATCTCACCTACGCGTTAACATTTCAATATATAACGCGTGTTTTTTGTCCCAAATTAACAACCTCCAATATCCCCAAAACTTCACAGGTGAAACATTGTTTTGAATTTAAGCTCAAGACGAAAACAGCTGGTTAAAAAGCAGAAACATGTCAGAAAAAAAACACATCCCGAGCACAATTATTCTGTCACCTTCTTCGAAAGTGAAACAAAAGGTTGCAAAGGTCTGCTGATTTCCATAAAACTTTCTGATTTTTTTGGAAGTTTGGGAGTTTAATTGCACTTTGTGTTTTACTTAAAACTACCCGGAAATGTTTTTCCACAGGCACATGAAACTGTTGATGCACATAATAGGCTTCTTGCTTGTTTTGTTATTTCGAATAGTTTCGAGGCAAAAGAATCTTCAAGCTCAACTTAGTACCCGAGTTGAGATTTTTCACCTAATTTGAAGCAAGATTTGAGCGGTTTGAGCGGTTTTTTAGACAATATGGAAATTGTATGATGACCATTTTATTATCTTCAAATTAAATTTTCGTTTTTGATGAGCAATGTGTTTTAAATTGAGCAAAGGTACTCTTAAACAATTTAAATTTGTTTATAAACAAGTTTTAACAAGTTTCTGAAATTCTTGCCTTTCATGAAAAAATGATAATCATACAATTTTCATGTATGGAAATTGTAGGATAACCATTTTTTTCCAAAAAAAATAAACGTAGTTATTTTTCATTACCAGACTGTTTTATTTGGTTCAAATAGCCGGAGAAACTGTATTGAATCTTTTTTCATTGGTTTTTTGAAATTGCATGAAAAGTGAATGATTAGCATTTTTCCATACATTTGATGTAGAAAATTGTAAGATAAGTATTTTCGGTTTATGGAGGTCAACCCGGATAGTATTTCAACTGCATCTTAGCGTCACATTACCTTTCCAGGTCTTTTTGTTGGTTTTAATCGGTTTTCTTTATAAGACCGCTTAAAAACCGCTCAAATCTTGCTTAAAAACCGTTCAAAAATCATCGCAAGAAATGAACGGTTTTTGAGCGGTTTTTTAAGCAAGATTTGAGCGGTTTGAGCGGTTTTTCCAAAAAAAAAACGCCCAAACCGCCCAAACCACTCAAACCGCTCAAATCTTGCTGGAAAACCGCTCAAACCGCCCATATCTTGAGCGGTTTTTGAGCGGGTTCTTGACCCGGGTAGTACTGCTTGCCTAGAAAACTTCAGATCATTTTTGTCGGTTTTGATAAATTCGCATAGCCCGATGTAAATTCTGACTCAAGTATATGGCTAAGATCAATGCTGTATGCTGCTGCCTAATGGCTAGTTACGAGCAAGGCAAACTAGTCGGATGTCCGAAATGAATGGAAAGCTTCCAAGAATTTGGAATTCTAAGATTTCGGCTAAATCATCGGCTACTGATTTCAATTGATTATTTTTGAGCCAAGGCTCACTAATAGCCATTTCAATGTATGCAGAAGAAAAAAAACTGTTGTGATTGACGAGTCTACTTAATTAGGTATTTTTTTGGTATTTGTCTGTCCTTGAATTCTCACAATTTAAAATGGCGCAGTCAAATAACGAATCTGGTATGAGGGGAGTACCTCCATTCTGGCAAACCACACTCTTGACCAGCCTTTTCCCTGGGAAAAATGGAGTGACTTGATTCAATTGGCATTGAGAGACAAAGAAAACATAGATCCTCTTTAGAGTTGTTTATACTTGATAGATCCTCTGGATCGGATAATAGAGACACCGTCATTAGGAGAGGTAGTGACTGAAAACGAAAACAACCAGGGCAGAACGGCGAGACAGCGAGAAATCTGGAAGAAAAAAAAGCTATGATGAATAAAAAATTGCAGTAATCAAGAGCGAAATGAAAATACTCGGAGGGATGATACTTGACGCTAATGTAAAAAATAGATCCATGCTTTAATTCGCCGAGGGGAAGCATAACTTCTTGGTCAAAATTCATCAGGGTGAAAACCCTCCGGACGAAATCTACTTTTTTGGTTTTTGATTTGAGCGACTGGGAAAGGACAGTCGGAAGTTTTTCGTGTAGAGACTTCGCTAGGGGGCGTTTAATCTCGGATTAAGAACAACAAAATTCTCAAAAAACGAAAGTTTTCATTCCACTAAAGCGACTGATCCTTAGATTAAGTTGGAATTAATAGACCTAGGTGACGACTTCAACTCAGGTTTCTAGCAAAATCCGAGTGTCCAATCGCAAGTACAGACCGGGACTATCCATACCAAAAAGGTGACTAAAGGACTTAGCTCCTTTGGATATCACTTCAAGCCATTAACCAATGATTAAATGAAAACATTCCTGTAGTTTTTCAACCTACGAAGTGGAGAACCTAAATAAATTTTGGTGGTTTTTAAACTCTTCGTTCCCTCGCAGTTATGTTGGCCCTCCTAATTTCTTTTGTGATTGGGGGTTTGCATTCCTACGGACGACAAAAGGCTCAAACACAGTTACCCAGAGACAAGACCAAATATTACGCATACTACAAGGACACAGGAGCAGATTTTAGAGACAGAGACAATCAAAGCGATCTCAGATTCGCCTGAAACCAGCTTTCAAGGCAACATTCAAAAAACGGCAGACCCGAGCATGAAATACCAGGGGGGTTTTTTAGATAACCTGGCTGAAACTTCAATTTGTTCTATTTCTGATTTGGAGGAGGTTTTGATTCTGCTGGAGCCGAGACAAGATAAAGAGAAGGATATCGACAATCGAGTCCATAACAGAAAGCCAGTTACTGATCCAAATAGACGAGTTTCTAAAAGAAGGAAACAGAGGAAATTAATTTCAAAAATCTAAAATTTATGGGCCAATTTTCAAAACTCAGTTAGAAATTTCTGTAACTTTTGTTACTCATCCTTTACCAAAATAGCTTATTCTAGCCATTTGTCTTTGGTGTTAACTAAAATTTTCATTCCCGGGTTGACCTCCATACACCACCAAAGCTTATCATACAATTCGACACAACAAAAATCATTATCATACAATTCCATACATCAAGTGCATGGAGAAAATGCTTGTCATACAATTTTCATGCATTTTGAAAAAAAAATTAAACCATTTCTGCGGTTTCTTGAGATCAGTTGAACAGACTGGTGACAAAAAAAAACATATATGGAAATTGTATGACTGGCATTTTTTTTGATGGCGGCACAAAAATTTTTCCAAGTAATCTTGAAAATTTGCCCCAAATTTTTTTCAACCGCAAATCGAATTTTGTACGCAAACAAACATTTTCCGAAAAAATGTTTCTACATCCAAAATTTAATTTTTTGAGTGCATAACGTAGTCCTGGATACGATAATATTGGCTTTTTTTCTTTTCTCTTAAATTATTTTAGTACAAACCATATATGCTGACTAACCCGTCGAAATTATAAAATCATTTAACTGACCAGCTTTTTGGTTTGAAAAACGAAGATCGGTTTGCATTTAATATGTTTTTCTACCAGTAGTTATTCAGGTTGCAGTCGAAAGCTTCTGAAAAAACGGGTATAGTTCAAAGTTCTTCAAAACTGGATAAAATCCTCCCTTCCACAAGAACGAAAAAGATTTTTAATTTAAATGGACTCCAATTTGAAAATTCGGCGGAAAAAGCTGTCTCAAAACTCTTACTCTTCAATTATTTTGATTGGTAATCCAGAGCGATTAAGAAGAATTCATCTGTTTTGTGAGTCAACTTAAGGCAGTTACTAGATTGACTTTTAATTTTAGTATCAGGTATGATATTGTCTCAAGAAAAACATACTCAAACACCCAAACTACGTGACTTTCTTCCAGTCTAGTCAAGTTTCTCTTTAGCTCAGAAGTTGTGCACCTTGTCTGGTGAAAACCAATTTTCTTAAAATCCATTTTCATCCTTAAAATGCTGCCATTTTGATATTGAGTTCATTAACCTTTTAAAAACTTTTTGTCATTACGAGGCCAAACTGTGCACTGTATAGGGCACACTTTTGTGTCTGTATGTTCCTGAATTCCAGAAACAAGTCTCTAAACATGTTTTAAGATGTAAGTTGTTTCAATCTTCAAACTTTTAGAGTATTCCGCGTACGAAAACCTGTAACGTAAATTTTGTTGGCACATTCGTTTTGTTGCGGGTTCTGCACTGAGCGAATGTGGGTAGTTGTTCCGGATTCCGCAATTGTAAGCGGATTTCGTATATGTTAGTAGATTCCGCAAATGTATGCAGATTCCGCTGACAGTTTGCGGAATCCGCGTACAATATGCGGATTCGGCTCACAATTTGCGGATTCCATTTACTGAGCGGATTTAGAGTATTCCGCGTACGAAAACCTGTAACGTAAATTTTGTTGGCACATATGTTTTGTTGCGGATTCTGCACTGAGCGAATGTGGGTAGTTGTTTCGGATTCCGCAAATGTAAGCGGATTTCGTATATGTTAGTAGATTCCGCAAATGTATGCAGATTCCGCTGACAATTTGCGGAATCCGCGTACAATATGTGGATTTGGCTCACAATTTGCGGATTCCACTTACAGTTGCGGATTCCACGACAACTTAAGTTTACTCAAGACATATACTATTATTTGTTCATGGATTCCAGAGTTGGTTCCGGATTCCATAAACTTTGTTGCGGATTCAGAAAAACTGTCTGTTTTTGGAGCGATTTTGAGCAATACAGTGTTTTAGCTATTTGTCCGTGGAATCCAAAACAGCAGAGAAGATTAAAAAATAGCAATATTGGAAATTCTGCGACAAATCTGAGTTTGGCTTGTTGCGTAATCCACTTATAACTCACAAAATGCACAGTTTGGCCTCCTAATGGTCATCTATGATTCATTTTTTAGTCTGACCTTATATACAGTTCATCTACCCCAAACAAAATTACAAGTGCTGCCCAACAAAATGGATTGTGGTATATAAACCAGGCACAGTATCAATTAACCGAAAATACGTACGTAGGTGTTTAATAACAGTTTTGGGATCAACCGTAAAATCCCCCCTAAGTGACCTACCGTAGAACCCCTTCCCCAGACATGTGTTAATTCTGAAAAAAATGTATAAAATATGCATTTCATATTTGCCTTTGTATGCTGTAAATTACACAAATTAAAATTTTAATTAAGTTTTAGTAATACGGTTAGTTTTGACAAATCTAAGCTATACTCAAAGTTAACTTATGAAAACATGCTCCAGTTGATCCAGTTATGCAAAAATTAGGTAACAAAAGTTATGCAAGTTCATTCGTATGGCGTAATTTTTTGGCTGGCTTATGTACTCTTCGCATTTTCGTTTGGCTTGTACTTCGGTTGGTTATTTCACTCTTCAATAAAGTCTGCAACGGAGGTTACAGAATCAGTTTTTCTCGCTTTGATTATAAAAAAATGGGTGGTAGACCAACAAGCCGAATGGCCAACAAACCGAAAATAAGATTACCATTCCGACAAGCCGAAAATTATACTCTGAGACAAAAACCAAAACAAAATTAGAAAATTTTGTATAATTTCAAAATTTCTTGTTTATAAACTTAATGCCTGGAAAAATATAATGTTTGTCTTACACAAAACCTTATTCTTGAACAGTAAAAGCACGACATTTAGATACACCGTTATTTTCTACCCCGTTTAGATACACTTTTTCAACCTCCGAGTTTATTTTTTCAGGCCAAACTTTCAAAATGAATCTAAGTGGTTGAAAAAAATTGCACCAAGTATGGGTCAATCTCAATTATATTTCACAACTGCTTGTGCAGCTTAACTCGGCAGTCATTTTTTAAATTCAAATTCTGGAGTCTCATTTCAATCCTTTTTCCGCGTCCAAAAACGAGTATGACTTTGCATTGAAATCTGTTTTTTAATTCTTTTTTTAAAATTTTTGAATTAGTTTTAGACATTTAAAAACTTTTTCAAGACAGAACAATGTTAATTTTACAACTGACAATTAGAAAATTTGTGAAATAAATTTTTACAAAATGTTTACAATAGAACTAGCACAGTACACTTTTATTTATTTACAGGGGAACCAGAAGTTCGTGCTATTTTCCTCATCATCTTCTGACTTCGTTTTGATTGGTCAAACTACAGGGCAAGTTGGAGATCTGATAGCGTCGGAGTTGAGAATTTCTGTACAAGAAACCAAACTCAGAGCTGATCAAATATAGCTATCCCAACCACGATATGTGAACAAGTTTCTGGATGATTGAAATGTCTCCCATTGACATGCACATTAGTTTTGATTAATCGGAAAAAAAACTCAAAATGAAGGAAATTTTCTTATCCGAGTTTCGGCTTTTTTCTTCTCTCCCCTCCTGCAATTTTTATCGACAATTTTTCTAAAAATTGTCCGGTTATTATAAAAATGTCATGTGGACTGATAGGGCCGCCTAGCATATTTTTTCTCCATATTTCACGCTGTAAAACCCCTCGTTACACCATAAAATTGATACTTATGTGAGGTGGGGGCTCGAATTTTATCATATGCAAGGTTGTTTTTGAGGGAGGGGTTGGCAACCCAAATATTTCGAAAATTTCTGTGATGTTGCACCAAAAAAAAGTTCGAGTTGACCCCCCAAAAAGGATATATTGAAATGAAATTTCTTTGGTTTTCTAGATTTAAAAAAGTTGCCCCCCCCCCACTCGGCTGTCTAATGGACTGATAACTTTACCCATGTATCGGTCGGCCAACTCTACCCAAGTACTGCTAGATTTGAAAAAAATGCCCCCCCCCCCCCCCACTCGGCTGTCTAATGGACTGATAACGTTACCCGTGTATCGGTCGGCCAACTCTATTGCCTCATCCAACCCCTTGGCCAGTTGCTTGTCCTTCAACATGGTCAGCTGGTACAGGTTCTGCTGGGTCCAATCCAGCTCGCACTGTCGCCCGGTAGGTAGCTGGACGCCATCCATCAGAGCCGTGTTGTAGGCTCGCTTGTTCAGTCCAAACACATCACGCTCTGGTAATTTCATACCGGTTGTGATACAAAAAATTGGCTTTCATTTGAGATCAAGAATCGTAATTTTCGGCTTAGCCGAAATGCGGAAAAGTGCCAGAAGTATACCAGTTCGTGCCGAAAACAGAAGATTCCCAAAATTGGGAACTAAAAACGCAAAGGGGATTCTTTCATTGAGTTAATTTTTCATTTATCTAAAAGAAACTGGCTCTATTTTTTGCTTTTATCATATCGCTTTGAAATCTAGGCTAGTTTTTCACAGTTTTTTGGGCGCAGTTTTTTGTCCATTTTTTTGTCTGGCCATATTTTGAACTGTTCCATCATTTTAGCAATTTGTTGCTAGGTACCATATTTAAAAAGATTAAAGATATGTAGGATCTTTATAACTATGTCCCCCCTCGGGTACCTTCTAACGAATACCCCCCCCCCCCTTTATAAAGAAATAAGTCAACGGTTAAGCAAATGAGAATTTTGTACCTAAAAACGAATCTCCCCCCCCCCCCCTGCAAAATGGGGATATAGTTAAAGAGATCCGATATCTATTACGATATGTAACTAAAATAAAAATTTTCACTGTATTTACATTTTAACGATTAATGTAGTGTTTTAATACATTAATGCCAGATCTATTTCAGAATAGTGTGTCTATACTGACGCATGCAGATGACCCATTGGGGGAACCCGCAGGTGTAGTCGTCCAGACCCTGGTCTCCATTCCGATTAAGAGTTTCCTTGGAGAACTTCTTCCGAGCCACGCAAGCTTCTTCGCCCCAACTGCCCAGCACTGAAGCGAAGGACAATTGGGTCTATTTTATCCATTCCTTCTCTAAATTAGCCCTAAGTTGACCCCTAGAACCCGCATTGGCTCATAGCTAAAAGGGTAACTTTTTTAAAAAAAACTCGGTAAATTCAAATCCCAATGACTTTATATTTGATAATTCGAACCCTTGATAAAACGGAAACCCAAAAATCATTTAAGTTAATGTTGCAAGTTAAAAATGCCTCAGTTAAGTGTTCATTAATCTTTTCTTTCACAATGCTCATAATGATTTCTCCGCTGTTATGAAGATTGCACCTACCAATATTATCCGGTTGACCAGGCCTGAAGAGGTCTTCATCCATTGGGAGTCCAGAGTACATGTTTAAGAATTGGTTGGTAACGTTTCCATACATTCTGACATAGCCAGTCCAGAACCCAGCGTTGTGCAAGTATGCTTGATCGCTCTGGATAGCCTTGTGGTAATGGGCGAAGAAATGATCGCGTACCACTTGCTACAAAAAATCACAATGCATTATGTCTAAATTATCCAGTAGCATTAACAACAAACTTTTTTCGCTCCAACTTTTTGCTATACTATATAACTTTTAGTTATATAATTTAGGCTAGAAAAAAATTAAGATACATACTTCTATCTACCATTTTTACCAAAAGAAGAAACGTTTTAATTTACGTTAAAAAATTTCCGGTAATTTGGTTTGGTTATATTTCTTCAATAAACTGATTTTTCATTAATGCCAGCCATTTTTGGCTAAATTTCCGTTTATGAGGTTCTGTTCCCCCAGAAATCAGTAGCGGATTAAGTAGAGGGCGGAATGCGTACACACTCGGAATGCGTACACATAGAGGGCGGAATGCGTACACATTTGATTGACCAACCCTAAAATTTTTCTAACGACGTGCCTAAATAAACGTTATGTTTTGGTGAAAATGTCTTAAAAAACGCTATAAAACAAACTTCAAACACTATTTGGCAAAAAAATTGTCGTCTTTTTGGGAGAGCTTCGAAATTCAAATTGGTCGGTCTATAAAAATTTTACATAACTATTTTTGACAATGTTCCGTATCATTCATTATTCACTAAATTTAAATGCGCATGCGCGCAAAAAAAAACTAACAAATTTATTGTACAATTTTCTAAAAAAGTGTCCTCAAACTTTTTGGCCTGTTTTTGTTTTTTTTTCTGCCTGTGGCTCACATTAATTTTGGCAACGTATGATGCTACTTTGGAGACGGTTTGGAAAAACCAAAAAGTCCAGCTAAAAAATAAAAAAGACAAAATTTGGAAATCTTAGATCTGGCTTTTTTGTACAAATGAATTTCTCTGCAATGTTAAAACTTTGTTTAGAAACTTTGTTCAAATATGTTCACACTCAGTTTGACAGAGGACAATAAGTTCGAACTTTTATTTGGACTCTCAGACAAAATTAACGACCGTACTTTTTTGTAGTTTTTCAGCGAAAGATCAAAGAATTTATTTGATCAAAGAATGCTGAAATGTGCAGTATTTAAATTTTCTCCCGATCTACAATAAATCAAGATTTATAGCTTAATTATATGGTAACATCGCAGCAAGAGTTGACAAAGAGATGACAAGAGCGACAAAAGTTGTCAAAAGAAGATTTATATGATGACAGCTTAAAATATATATGCAATTGAAAAGTTCATATTCAATTATGTTAAAGAAAATGTCTCACACCTGTTTTAAGTAAAATGTCACAGACATGAAAAAACGGAGGCACAAAAAATTACCAACAGTCTTTTAAACTGTACAAAAAACTATTGCAAGATTAGTTCAAAGTTTATTTACATCTTCTCCGGGGGAGTCGAAAGTGAGGACAGTTGAGCCCCCCTCGAAGCCACACGCAGCGACTGCTTTGTCCTGACTAACTGGACCCAGTGGCAGCAACAGTTTATAGCAGTGGGACAGACCTACATTAATGAAAATAATTAGCATCATAATGATAATTGTTATAAATAATATTAATGATCATATTAATCATAATATTCATAAAATAACAATAATAATAATATCATAATAATAATAATAATAATAATAATAATAAGAATAATCATAATAATAATCATAATGATCATAATAATCATAATAATAATAATAATAATAATAATAATAATAATCATAATAATCATAATAATAATAATAATAATAATAATAATAATAATAATAATAATAATAATAATAATAATAATAATAATAATAATAGTAATAATAACAATAATAATAATAATAATAATAACAGTAATAATAATAATCATAATAAAAATAATCATAATCATGATAATAATGATCATAATAATCATAATAAAAATAATCAAGGTAAAAATTATTACAATGAGAAAGGGGGGATTTAGGGGGGGGGGGATTCGACCTCCTGCCGACCCAAAGGGTCCCCCTTTGCTCTATCTTGAATATCCATTTTTGGCTTACGGACACAAAAATTTTTCTGAAGTGGCCTTTGGCGCCAATATATATTAACTTTTAGGGGGAGCTATTTTTTGGTAAAAACTTTCCAAAAGTGTCTTAAAACGCTATTTTGGCCTGTTTTTTTTTTTCAAAACTTTGCCTGCCGCGCAGTGCCGCTCAGAAATTATGGCCAATACAGGGTCTTTTTAGTGCTTTAGCAGAGCTCGGAAAATCATTTTGGTCTATCTAAAAAAAAGGTCGACAAAATTTTTTGAAAATCCGGCCCCCCTCGAAAAAAATCCTAGATCCGCCCCTGATACTAGTCATAATAAAAATAATCTCAATAATAGCCATAAGAATCCTAATAGTATTAATCCTAAGTATCATAATAATCATAATAAAAATCTTAACTTCAATAGTAATCTAAATCATAATAATAATCATGATATATTGTTTCCAGTATAAATCCACATACATCAAATTAGTTTTGAAAAATAATCCTCTTAAAAAACCGAGTCTGCGAGATTGACGTTAGACAAATTATACGTCTCTGATCTCAAAAAAGCTTTACAAATAGCTCGGAGTGTGAAAAATCTCGAAAAGACAAGCATGAGTGTTTGGTTGCTGTGCAAGCGGCCCAGACAAATCTGACCTTTTCGAAATTTATTTTGTTTTGGCGAACCAATAAACTTAGAAGTTTAAAGTTTTTCTAGTTTTTCTGAATCTGAGCGCGGCATAAGAATTTAAAAAGCAAAATGAGGAAAACAGTTTAGTTTAAGAGGTAAAAAAGTCTTTAAAGCTACTTAATTGGATCAGCAGACTAATTTTTACAATCTCATGCATTCAAACTATCATAAAATCGTCAATAAAAACTACACTAATTTTTGTTTCTAAGATTCGACAGTTGTTTTCTGTTTATACCAGAAATCACGATTTTTTGGAATGAGTACACAAAAAAGAGATTCTGAAAAAATATAAAAAAAGTAGTTAATGGCAAAATGCCGGGAACAACTGCGAATCTGAACGGAAATATTGAAAGTAAACTTATCATTGCGATGCCTACAACCATCTTTGCACTCAACTCATCAAGCACAATTTGTCTTAAAATCATGATTAACTTACAAAAGCTTTTGACTAATTAAGGTGCTAAACATCTCTACTTTTCACAATTTGGCATTAACTTAGCACAAAATTTGATATAGTTTTTAATCAAACACATATCAGTAATTCGTTACAGACCTGAAGATATCCTATGTTTGCTTTTGCTAGCGGATAACTTGTCAAATGAAATTAAAATTGGGTCTTTTATTTCAGTGATCCTTCTCTATCAGCTAGTAAAATACATACCCGAGATCTTCTCGAAACCTTCAGGACATTCTAAACATAATTTGAACCAATGAACTCAACAAGATTTTTTTTTAAAAATCGAACTTTGCAATTTAACATAAAGTTTGTAGTCACCTTCTTGGCAAGTCGGCCGCTCGTTGCCTCTGAAAAGTAGAAAAAACTAAGTTTCAGGGCTAATCAGCTGAGAATATTTCACATTATCTTTTTTGATGAACAATTATAATATTTTTTGCAGTTTTGTAATCAATTAGAATCATTAGTTTTTTCCATTATAGTCACTCTTTATTCCTTAAAAGTGCCTTTTTCTCCTCAAACTTTCAATCAATTGTACTATAAATTGTACACCTTCAAAAAATAAAGTGGATCTAGAATTTTACAAGACGCAGAAATCTGACAGCAATAATTGATTTCTGAGCTCCTCTTAAATACTGAAATTTTTTATTGTTAAAATTTTCTCCGCAGAAAATTATTGAAAAGTTTTTGAGAATCAAAAGTGCGTTTTGAATGAGCTTGGTTATGAATTCGCCTAAAACGTCCTAGAATAATAATTTTGTTGTTGTTTGGCCAAATCTGAGTTTCGTAAAAAAACGTACCAAATTAGGGATCTTATGAGAAGGGTGTCTGCTTTTTCCACCCCCTTCTTCTCTAAAAAGTAACAAGACCTGAAGGGGATGGTGAAACTATTTGTATCACCGCATTGTTCGTTTTAAAAACGTACAAGAAAAATTTGAAAACAATCTTAAAAACAATCTTTGAAGTTTGAGTGCCGGTAGTTTGTTGAATTCCGAAAATAAAAACTCTTTTTGTTGCCTTTAAACTAAATGAAGCTAAAATAGAACTTTAGTGCCCAACCATTTGTTTTGCGAGTTTTTTTTTTAATTTTCTAAACTTTTTTTCTAACTTTCGAGAAAAAAACTATTTTTGGCTTGGTGTGTTTTTAATTCAGACAACTTTCGGAAAAAGAAATAGATATACTAAGGAGAAAGACATAACACCTTCAAAACAGGCAAAATTCCTTAAAAATGGACAGAAAACGGGCGAAACAAAAACTTTCAACCGTCGAATGATAGTTGGAACATTCAGTTTTCACTCAGACACGATCTGTCTCAAAACCCACTTCAAACTGTCAGTTCAAAAAACACTTCAATCACTTGGAAATTGATCAAATGATTCTGGGCTTCGCCTAGATCGCAGTTTAGTTATTGCTTCAAATAAAACTACTCACATTGTATCCCGGATTGAAATCAAAAAGCAGACTATGGCAAGAAAATTTTTCACGTAAAAGTCCATATTGCAGTTACAAACTGTAGATGATTTTTTCGCTCTTTCGTTATTTTATTTGTTACACCGAAGCAAATTGCGAGCAATTCTACTGGTTTAATGACTTACACGCCAGAGTGATTTAATGAAGGCATTTTTGGTGCCTCCGATCTTTTTGATGCCAGTGACGTTTTTCTTGAAACAGAGGCGGGACCTCTTTACCTACCAAAAAAGTGCTTAGTTGAATATTGACCACTCAATTGCGTATACATGCTGAGCTTTTATCATCATATAAATCTTCTTTTTGACAGTTTTTGTCGTTGTTGTCCACTCCTTGTCAACTCTTGTTGAGATATTACCAACATAACTAAGCTTTAATTCTTGATTTATTGTATATCGAGAGAAAATTTTAATACTGCGCTTTACAGCATTCTTTGATCTGAAGTAAAACACTTCACTGAATGTCTGCAATAAGCACCGTAATTAAACTTGTCTGAGAATGTCAAAAAAAACTGAACCTTTTTGATCCTGTGTCAAACCACCAAGTCTGAACAAATCTTGCTGTTGTATGTTTTTTACTACATAACTTTTTTTCAGTCTGATTTATCACGTTTAGATGAAATTTGAGACTGCGCTCTTATGCTTTGTTTGAGCAATTGTAAAACAGCGCAGCTCACTTCTGTGAAAAATTACAAAATTTTCTTCGTTTTTGTATAGTGCGACGTGATTATGGGGGATCCGCGGGATCTCTTTAACTATTTCCCACTTTTTGCAAGGGGGGATTCGTTACTAGATACAAAATTTACATATGCTTGACCAATGAATTATTTCTTTATAAAGGTGGCATTTCGTTATTAGGTACCCTAGAGGGGAAATATTAAACAGACTCGATCCGCTTCGAGGCAGTGGTTTCATGATCAATCTTTCATAACTTTGATAGTCTCAAACAAACATTTTGCAACTTGTCGAGAAGGTAAAACGATCGTCGAGCAATTGTTAATTCCGAGATAAATATACAGTAACTTAATCTTGCAAAGTTAGCGTCAAGAGTGGTTAGAAACAATATCCAAGGGTGACAGACAGATCCAAGGACAAACACCTGCTAATCAATTAGTCTAGCACCAAGAGTGAACAATTGATTGACAGCTTTGGAAATGAACTAAATTACTCAATACGACACTTCTCCTTCGATAATGAAAACTTTAGTTAAGTAGAAATAATTTCGCAGGTTTACTTTAATGACTGAAATAGATGGTTAGAAAAATAGGTGGTTGATTGATTGCAGATAGTTGAAAAGAATTACTAGCTTCATGTTACAGTATACAACTCAGGCTTTAAAATGACGACTTTTTGTTAATAACTAAAGGATCACTGATAGTGATAACGATTGAGTTTTAAGCCAGTAGTGACTCACCCTCTCCCTGGGTTAGAACAGTTTAACAAAGTTTGAAGTTTCTAGGATTCGACGATCAATTTTTTCCTTCCTTGTTCTGATTGATAAAATCAATCATTACGCCCCCCATTTTGGTGACCGCCGTTCTTTTCCGCCCACTTCTTCTAGACGTTGTGGATGATGTCTCGTCTTGGCTGTCCCCCTGGCTACTGTAAGAGACCAGCCTAGCTTTCCTGGATGAGGCTCCCTTTTTCTTTCCGGTGGTTATTGGGTTTGTTGGGTCTTGCACCCCTGGATTCTCCGTTACTTGCACCCCTGGATTTGGAGCATCCAACTCGCCGCCTAGTGCCGGAATGGTGTCCTGGTCGGTTTCAGCTTCGGCCTCTGGTATTGCTGTTGCTGAGCGTTCTACTTGAGTGGTCGTTGCTTGCTGTTGAGTACGTTTTACCGAGATAATCGGTAGATCCTCGCTGTCCTCCGATTCAGAATAATTTTCTTCGAATCGGCGCCCGGTCCTCTCCCGTTTCTTTTCCGCAGTCCGCTTGGTCCATCGGTCCTTCACTTCGCGCGGAGTTGGCGGTGGTAGTGTTATTTGAGTAGCCCGTTTTTTCGCTTCGATCACTGGTACCGGTAGTACGGATTTGGCTGCGGTTCTTGATTTCTTCTTTGGTATGGGTTTCGTGGCCACTCCCGATTTCCTAAGCACAACTCCATTATCTAACGTCAGTGTATGTGCACTTTCCGATCTAATATTAGAATGAACTGGTCTATACCTTTTTAAGTTTTTGTTTCCAGTGCGCTGAAACAACGATCCGGATGGTCCCGGTTGCCCTGCGGGATTTGAACTTTTCCGTATCGACGGTTCGTCGTCTTGATTTCCAGCTTGATCCACAGTAAGGCGTCGTGCATGGGTTCTGTTTTTAATGTCATAGTCGAGATCTGATCGTACACCCCAGTTTGTGTCGGCTGGATGGGGCATATCTTGCACACTAGGATCGGCGTCATCTAAACAAGCATTTTTCGTTTTTATTACCCGTGACCAATCCAGATTCTGCAGCGATGGTTTTTTAGTAAGATTCCGTAAAACGGTGTTTGCTTCTCTACCATGATGAGCTTCAAAAGGCGAAATTCTAAGTGTTGAGTTTTTTGAGAATCTGAGAGCACCAAGGGCCCGTTCGACCATTTTCTCCAAGGGTTCAGGATTTTTTTCGTGAGCGAAAGTAAGGATTGAATTCTTAAGACTTCCAATAGTACGCTCGACACACCCGGTTGCCCGATGGTCGTTTACAGGTGATTTAATGATCTCAATGCCTTCCCCATTACAAAAAGCTTTGACCGCATTTGACATGAAATTAGTTCCCTGATCGATATGGATTTTCCGTGGCACCCCGTGGTTTGATATATAACTCTTCAAGAATTTCAATATTTTGTCCGAGCGATTATTTCCACAGATCATTGCCGATGGCCAACGAGAGAACCGGTCGACCGCTACGAGCACATATTTAGAGGATTCATTTAAATAATTGATGGGACCCCAAAAATCTAATTGGACAGATTCATTCGGTTCTTTTGGTTCTGGTACAGATCCCAGTTGATTTTTTCCTATTAACGTCTTTAAGTTCTTACCGGCTGCAGTACATTCAGGGCACCCCTCGGCAATGGAGGCTATTGAGCGGTAGATGTAGGGATACCAGATGTCCTTTGCGGCATCGAACATATTTGACTTTCCGTGATGGTACGCGTGTATTCTGTTATTGATTGCTGACTGGAGGTTAATTGGGATTGCTAATTTATCGTCCATCCAAACTACATTTTCCCGCACTGAGAAATCATTGACGAATTGAGCGTGATAGCGGCTCATTCGAGTAACTTTGTCATGAATTTCCGGGTCTTGTGTAACAATGAGATCGCGAATAGCGCTCAGTTGGGGGTCCGATACATAATTTGATTCTATGAATTTTAAGTTAAACAGGTCAGGTAATGCAGTAGTTTTATTAACGATCTTACAATTTCGCGGTATAATTGACATACAGACAAGGTTTGGGTCCACTGGTGTTACTGTTTCTCCTTTGAATTCCGAGGGTAACGAGAGAGTTGTATTTGTGCGTATCGATCTTGTCTCTTTGGTAATGGCTTCTAGTGATACATTTGGGGGCAATTTTTCGATTTCGTCGCTACTACTATTTAGGCTTGGATGCTGTTTGAGAAATTTCTGCCATTTGCGCGTGTTTCGGTCCATGTTGTTATTCGGTTTAAAATTTTGAGGGCTGGATGTAAGAATATTCTGATTTTGAAGATTGGATTTGGATAATTTTGAACAACTGTGTTCTGAATGAATAATAGCCCCAACTAATCCAGTGCGCATATCGCTTAGCCGTCGGCTTAAACCACGTGGTTGCATCTGATTGGTTGATTTCCGCTTACATGTTTTGCCGCCCTCTACCGAATCGTTATATGACGAAACTTCCAGTCTATTTATAGAAAGCTTTTTATTCGCTGTACAACTTTGTGCCTTGGATGTATTAGGTCCCCTGGATGTATTAAAGCCAAGCGCGGTGCGAATTAGGTTGATCTTTGCCACCGTGAACATATTATCATACGTACTAATTGGCGTTCCTTCTTTACTTGGATGCCGTGATAAATAGTCCGCCAAACCAATTTTAGCCCCCGGTTTATGCTCAATTTGAAAATCAAAGGGAATTAGTCGATCTAACCAGCGAGTTAAACGACTAAACATCGTCTTATTTTTCTTGTTATTTCCGTTCAAAAGGGATATCAGGGCTTTATGATCGGTAACGATCAAAAAACTTCGGTCCAGTATGTAATTTCTAAAGTATTCGGCCCCCCACACAACTGCCAACATTTCCAATTCGTTTGTTGAGTATTTCTTTTCCGCCTCGTTAAGGTATCGCGACGCGAACGAAATTGGGCGCCATCCTTCTGGTCCCAACTGTTCCAACACCGCGCCGAGCCCATTATGGCTTGCATCGCACACTATGCGAATGTCCTTGTGGATATCAAAGTGCCGTAATTCAACAATGTTTCAAACTTGTTTCTTCAGATTTTCGAACGCGTTCTGACATTCAGGTGTCCAAATGTATTCGTTATTTTTGCTTAATAGGGGCCGCAGCGGTGCCGATGATTCGGCCAATGCCGGTAGATACTTATGCAAGCTATGTATCGACCCCATAAACGATTTTAATTGCGACAAAGTCCGTGGCGGCGTCAGCGCTTCTATTGGTTCTGTTTTTCTAACCAATGGAGTAATTCCAGTCGGAGTTATTTTATGTCCTAGCCATTCGCATTCTCGTTGGGCGAATTTACATTTTGTCAATTTTAAAGACATATTTTCCCGATCCAGTTTCTTTAAAATTTTCTCCACCGTTGCTATGTGGTCTATTGCCGTTCCCTTGGTTACGACCAAAATATCATCGATAAACGCGTGCGCTTGCGGGTATTCGGCGAGTATACAATCCATTGCGCGTTGGAATTCCGCGGGCATTGTAGTGAGGCCATAGAATCCGGTTTTGAACCGGTATGTACCCGTCGAACGACCTCCAATTAGCGAAAAATTGCACTGGACGCTCGTCTCCGCATTTAGTGGCAATTGGCCATAAGCGTATGTTAAATCCATTGTTGTGAAATATACGTCTCCCTGTTTTTTTTTTCGCTAATCGTTTGCCCAACCGTGTCCATTAGTTCCTCGATATTCGGCATCTGGTATTTATTCTTATGCACTTGTTTATTTAGTTCCCTCGACTCTAGTGCCAATTTTACCGATCCATCCTTC